CGGCTTCTCTCTCTCCCGACAGAAAGGTGTTTTCGTGTTTTTTGTCTTGTGAGTCGCAGTGTTTTTGTACGCATTCGTCGCGTCTATTTGTTTCTAAGCGCGCATATAGTCATGAGTTTCTGCTCGATGTCGGCAGAACCACATTTTTAGAGTTAAACTCTGCGCACGCCGAAGAGCTGCGGGATCTCGGTCTGCTCCGGAGGCCCACACCATCACCGACCCCCACTACTGCATCTCGCCCACAGCGGAGGCGCCACAAGCGGCGCGAGAGGAAGCAGAAGAGGGGTAAGCGCGGAGGTATCCGGGCTAGGCTAGCGGCTAACCCGCACAAGCCGGCTATCCCCACCATCGTACTGGCTAATGTACGCCCTTTGGACAATAAACTGGACTACATCTGACTACTACGCTCAACTCAGAGGACTGTAAGAGACTGTTGTGTTTTTGTGTTCACGGAAACATGGCTCAACAACAGCGTTCCGGACTGCGCTATTCATCTCGATCAGCTGACATGCTATCGAGCGGACAGAGCTCGCGTTTTTTGCACCCTAATCATTATATCTGCACTGTTGTTTACTTTTACTGGTTTGCACTGCCATATATCTGCCATATGCCTTGTGCTTTATATATATATTTTTTTACGTTTTACCTTATTTGTATATTTGTATAGTTGTATTTTGTATTTTGTATTTAATCTGTACCTATCTGTATTTATGTTATCTGTATGCACCAAGGGTCTGAGAGTAACGCAATTTCAATTATCTGTGTGTATGTGCTGTACATGTGGAAGAATTGACAATAAAGCAGACTTGACTTGACTTGACTTGAAATAAAAGCTCAAACTCTCACTCTGAGTTTACACGTTTTGATATCCACATATTCAAGAAGTCACAGTAGCTGTAGCATTTCTGTCGTCAAGAAATGGCCAAATATCAAAGATAAAGTAGACATTTTAATGAAATGTTGTTTAGTCAATATTAAACAAGGATTAGATTGCGCTGTAAAGTGTAAAAACAATCGTCAGGCCGTTGGCGCCCCCTGCAGGCATTTGTTATAATGCGTAATGTACGTTAGCTCTATTGTTTATAACACATTATGTATTTTAACAGTTTTGTTCAATAAAACCATATGATTACTTGCTTTGGATACTTTATTTGAACTAATTATTATTGCCTCATTGCTATTATATATATATTTTAAGTACCGTATTGACCAGAATATATCTGGTCATCTGAAAAAACGCGGTCATCTTATATTCAGGGTCTAGACTTTGACATGTCAATAATACATCCACAACAATAGGTGGCGCCAAATACGCATAAAACGAGTGTGCCATGAAATACGTAATGTAACGCGTGTTGTAAAGATCGCGAGTAATATCAAAAGAAAAAGAAAACCTTACAGCTGCATGAGTCGTGACTGTCAC